GTTTGCGGTAGACATATGTAGTTCTTTTTGCCTTTTTAAAATCCAGCTTGACAATCTCTGCCTGTTGGGAGAAATTTCTCCATTGGTCTTGCATGTTTCTGTATGTTCTCTGAGCAAAGGTTTTAATATATTTTCCCCTAGACCCGTGGTTGGCAAACTGCGGCTCGCGAGCCACATGCGGCTCTTTGGCCCCTTGAGTGTGGCTCTTCCTAAGCCTTAGGAGTACCCTAATTAAGTTAACAACAATGTATCTACCTATATAGTTTAAAAAATTTGGCTCTCAAAAGAAATTTCAATCGTTGTACTGTTGATATTTGGCTCTGTTGACTAATGAGTTTGCCAACCACTGCCCTAGACTGTCTTTTTAAGGATGTTATATAGTAAGTAAACTTGGATGATAGTTTACAGCAGATTTGTTTACTGTCCAGTATAGTGGAGATAATATCTTTCTCTGGAGCAAAGTTGGGCAAGTTTCTTAGCAGCCCCGTAGGTAAGATTGGGGCTTTCTTAGTTGTACCATGAACCCAGAGTGTACACAGTATCCACCTGGCACAGCTCTGCCTCTCCTCATGGGGCTTGGCGAGTCAAGGGAACCAACGTAAGCATGGGTTTGATACTGCCCGCTGTGCCAGACATAATAAAGTTATTGTTCTCCACCCAGTAAGTCTGTTTTCAGCCAGCATCTATGAAACTGTGACAGTCTAACTTGTTTCTTCTAAGTAGAATAACATTTTGAATTCTTCACAGTTCTTGATACTGCCTTTTAATTGGAGTGTTTAGACCATCTAGGTTTAATGTAGCTATTGATTATTTGGGATTTAACCTATTATTTTGCCATTTGTTTTCTTTATTATTAAATCCATTCTTTTCTTTTTCTATCTTCATTTGGATGGATTTTAAGTATTCCATTTTTATCACTACTTAGTTATATTTCTCTGTGTGTATGGTTTCTCTAGTACCTACAACATGTCTTTAACATATCCAAGTCTACCTTCAAATAGTATACTTTTTCTCCTAAAATATAAGAAATGTTTGATGATTGTACTCTCCCACCCTTTGTTATTGTTGTCATACATTTACCTCTGTGTGTTATTACAGCCATAATAATTAATTTTGCTTAAAAGAGTCAGTTCATTTTAAAATCAAATTAGAATAAAGTGATTTTATATTTACTTGTATGTACATTATTTCCAGAGCTTTTTATTGTTCTGTGTAAATCTAAGAATCTATCTGATACTATTTTTCTTCCACCTAAAGAGCTTTCTCCTACTGTTGATATTTTTTTGGCACTTCTGAAAAAAAGTCTGCATTTTTGCCTTCAGTTTTGTTCCATATAAAACTTTAGTTTCACAGGTTTTTCTTTAATCAATTCTTTAAAGATGTCATTCTGGCTTACATAGTTTTTAATGAGGTTTGTGGATGTTTATGCTTGTTTCTCAATATTTAATGACCATTTTCCCCTGCTGTTTTCCTTTCTCTTTTCAATTATTCAGCAATTCAGTTATGAGGTAATTTGATAAATGTTGGTCTTTATATTGCTTGTTTATTAAGCTTTTTGGATCCATGGGATTAATTTTAATTAAATTTGGAAAAGTTGTGGGAATTCGTTTTTACTCCCATCCTCCCCTATTTAGACATTCTCAATTATTCATATGTTAGACCACGTGATATGGTGTGACATGTCAGCGAGGCACTAATAAATTTTCCAGTCTGTTTCTTTTGTCTCAGTTTGGATTAATTCTCTTGCTATATCTGCTATATCCTCAATTTCATGACTTTTTTTTTACACTTGCTATATCTGCTATATCCTCAATTTCATGACTTTTTTTTTACACCTAATATACTGTTAATCTCATGACTTTTTAAAGTTTAGATTTTTTTCAGTTATCTCTTTGTTCATGTTTTTCTTTAAATTACTGAACATAGTTAACATATATTTTATTTAAATTAATTCTTCTAATTATGTAACTTTTATTTAAATTAATTCTTCTAATTATGTAACTTCTTTTCATTTTTGTGTTTCTTTCTATTGACTTGATTTTCCTGATTATGTGTTTGATTGGATACTAGACATTGGACATTGATAGTGGACTAAGATTACACAGATCTGACTTTGTTGAGTTTCACACTGTGAACATGCAGTTTAGCATTCAGCAAAGACTCACTGCAAGCCATGTAAGAGCTACAAAGTGCTGTGTATCGTTCCTTATGCTCTGGAAATTCTGCCTACAACTTCCAGCTGCCCCAGACTTCCTGAATTGTTATCTCTGTTGCTCAACTCATCCTCAACCCAAGAAAATTGCCGTGCTCTGCTTATAACTCTTTTTTCTGCATCAAGATCTGGATTGCTCCCCCACCCAGTAAATGGGTAGTCATTGGGTTCACCTATTTCTCCTCTGTTAGGGATCACAGCCCTTTTTTGACTTTTGTCTTATATCTGAAAACCATTGTTTTACATATTTTTTCCTGTTTTCTAGTTGCTTAGTGTGGAAACATAATTCTGGTACTTCCATCATGCCCAGAAGCAGAATCCCCTGTATTTCAAGTTATATTTTGGAGGCTGCAAATGATCACTGAATGTAATGACCCTGTCAATCTAATAGTTGGCAATTCTTTAGTTTTAAAACAATTGTGATAATTTTATTTTTTGTTAATAATTATGTAATTAAGCAAGGATTTTACAGAGGCATATGATTATCATCCATATCATACATAAAATTAATATTTAATTCAATATTCACATTTTACCTTGAATGAAAATTATAATTGCTCTATAGCTTATTTTCAATATCAACCCATAATACAGGTTTTAGTTAAACATTTTGTTTAAACACAGGTCATCATAAATATACAGCAGAGGAAATCTGTTTTTCCTTATTATTAAAACATAATTTTAAATCTTTACATAAGTCATAAATCTAACTAAACAAATTTCAAATTTCCAAAATTTCAAATTTCCAAAAAGTGGTAGGGAGATATGCTGTTTATTGAAATTCTAGAGCCTGTGGCTTGGATGTCAAATGGTTGCATTCTGTTTATTTTGCAGAAAGTGCAGAGTATTGCCTTTATTTTTCAAATGGAGTAAAACCTGGAAATGCCACTTGGTGTCAGAAATCCACAGATTTCTTCCATACAGGCTCCAGCTTTATGGCCACTAAGAGATCAAAATACACAAGAAAAAGAAATTCAGTTTGTTTACATGAAGAAATATTTATGCAACTATAAATCATCTGCAAAAGGTATCAAAGGGAGAAGCCTTTCTTCTGCTAAGAGAATTATGTAAGAACTAGAAATGCTATTCCCAGTTAAAGCTGCATTCAGATACAATCCAGATATGAAAATCACTAATAGCCAATATCACTAATATCTGGGGGAAATTTGATAGAAACATTTTTTTTTTCTGTGAGTCAGGCAACAAATACTAGGAACAGAAAGAATTCGTGGGAGATGAAGATAACAGTTTGGCTCAAAGTCATTTCTAAACATAATGGGTGTAACAGAAATGTTAAACATGGGGATTTTCTTTTCGTAGACTTACGCTCTGTTTGGTGTAGAGTTTTTTGATGTGTTCAGGCCTAGTCTGAATAACCATCTGGCAGAAGATTTTGTCATTTATTTTCCAATTAATATAATCCAAAATACTTAAGTGAATAATTTTGTCAGATAGTATATGGCAAAGCAAAAAATGGAATCCAGAACATGGTTTCAAAGACCACACTCTTCATTAAACCACAGCACCTCCAGGGATGATTACAAAGGAGATTTCAATAATAGATGAGAATTTCATTAGAGGAGCTTTAAGGTACCTTCCCAGACTGCAAGTACACATTTCTCAAAGGAAAGTGGAAAAACACAATTTAGAGTCTTACATAAATTAAGAATGAGGATATCTGGTGCATTAAGGGCCCATTCATTAGATGGAAGTCTTCATACTTACTAGGAGCCCTGGTTCTGGAACAGGAGCGGGCTTTGCAAACCGCTTATTAAGTTTCATCTTCTCTTTCTTTAGGGCTTTCATATTCTGAATACGTTTATTTATGGACTTGTGGAAAATAAAAAAATAAAAAATATTTTTATAACAAAAAAGTAACATGCTGATTATATTTTTGGTTTATGTCAATAAAAAAGATGAATCAATCAGTGCATATGACTTACAAAGCTACATAAAAGTAGGAAAAAAATCTTCTTTTCAAATGTGTGGTTTATAGGTGAAAAAACATATGGAACTATCAGTAGAATTTTCAAAAGAGACTATTTACTCTTAATCCCTACTTTACCAACCATTTAGCACATTTAGATAGATCCATTAAAGGCCCTAAAAGGGCATGACCAGTATGGCTTAGCGGTCGAATGTCATTCTAGGAACCAATGTTCTATTCCTGGTCAGGGTACATGCCCAGGTTGCGGGCTTGATCCCCAGTAGGGGGCGTGCAGAAGGCAGTGGATCTATGATGTTTCCCTCTCATTTATGTTTCTATCTCTCTAACCCTCTCCCTCCTTCGCAAAAAAAATAAAAAAAAAATAAACATAAAGTAAAAAACCCAAAGGGATTTTTATAGTAATTAGAGAACAAAATCCATGCACATTCTTTAGTTCTCTTAAATGCTGCATATCACACAGAGCTTTTTTTATGTCCCCGCTGTATGACATCTATAAGTAGCAGGTACCTAAGGGATCACACTAGGATGCATTGAAGATAATGAAAGAATATTAAGGTGAAGAGGATATGAATAATAGGAACTTTTATATACTGCCAATAGGAGAGTATTTGGTACAATTGATTTGAAAACAATGAGGCCTTACTTCATAACAATGAAAAACTCTCTTTTCCTATGATCCAATTATCTACTCCTGCGAATAATAAAGCGAAACTTTTGTTCACTGAGAAAAAAAAAGACATACTGGAATGTTTGCAATAGCATTGTTTATTATAGGCAAATGTGCAAACTACCCACTGCCCATCAACAGTAAGTCACAAGATTCCAGAGTCCCCAGAAAGATAACACAGAAGTGTCTATCTAATAAAGGTTCTCTCATATCTGGACCATCACACATAAAGGAACAAGATAAAGTCACAATTTTGAAATACCCAGAATGATTTATTTAAACATTACCTGCCTTTCAGTGACATCTGAAGGACGAGAAATTCTTGGTCCTTCCTACAAAATATGTGCAATAATTTTTTAAAAAAACCTATCAAGTCATGAGCAAACAGAAAGATTAGTTATTATAACAGGAAGTATATGGGTACAGATTTTATTAATATACTAGAGACCCGGTGCACAAATTAATGCACCAGTGGGGTGCCTCGGCCTGGCTGGTGATTGGAGCTGATCGGGGCTGTCTCTCCCAGTCCCAATCAGGCCAATGGGGGCCAGCCGGCTGGGGAGGGACCACAGGAGGGCTCCAGAGCATGTTTGGCCAGTCTCGCACAGTCCCCATTGGCCAGACCCCAGCAGCAAGCTAACCTACCGGTTGGAGCGTCTGACCCCTGGTTGTCAGTGCGCATCATAGTGACTGGTGAAATGGTCAAACGTACAGTCGAACGAATGGTCAGACACTTAGCATATTACGCTTTTATTATATGGGATGCATATTATGTTGATGGCAAGTGGCAAGAGCAGAAGAATATCAAGGTAAAAACCAGGTTGGAGATTGTTGATAGTACTAGAAGAGAACCAGCTATGAACAACATTATTGACATGAAAATTGATAAAGGGAAGCTTCATTTAAAATGGAGTTGGAGACCAGAAGGAGGAGACCTCAGGCAGTACCACTTGACATTAATTACAGACCCTATCAGGAAGACCTGTCACTTATGGGTCTCAACAGGAAGAGACTTACCACTCCAGCAGGAGGAAGAAAGGTTTTCTTCCTTGCAACTCAGCCAATGAGAAACCACTTTCACTTTTCCCCCCAATGGGGTTCCTTTCAAAACAATCTCTACCAACTTCCTCCTTTTTCTCTATAAAATTCCTCTCCTTTGCTTGTTGGATTAACCTATAGTTTTTGCTATTGCATACTTGTCTAGAATAGCGATTCTCTTACTATTCTCAGGTATAGCCATTATGCTGCTAACATAGTTGTCTGTTTTATTTTTTGGACAACACAGGGAACATATTGACTACAGAGATTTATTCTGGAAGAACAGATGTAGGATAAATCCAAACATTCATGTTTCTGTTGGTACATGACTTCAATGGTGCCATGCTGATCTTTGCTTAAGGAACTGGTTTTTAGTCCAGGTTCTAAAGCCTGGGAAAACTGGGGTGATTGAGAAACTCCACTAGATGGTTTGATTTTCTGAGGCACAGCGAGTTTGGCTGGTAGTTAATAGGTTTCCACATCTCCCCCCGCAACCCCAAATTTCTAAATTATAAAATAAATACTTCCCTCTGTCCTCATTTTGATCAGTTGTTTAACCCAGAGACCTAAAAGTAACCTCCTCCCCATCTGAATATTGAGAAGTTCATCCTTTTTCCCACCTCTGTAACTCCCACCCCACCTTATAGGTTGTTCTCAATGTGTCAGTTCACAAACATGATGGAACAGTGGCGGCACCTATAAGGCACAATGTAGGGCTTTTCCTTATCCTGGGCAGGGCAGGTTTTGAAGCCCAGGATCAAGTCTGTCTACTGCACCAGGGATTTCCAACCCCCCAGCACCAAACGGCATGCTCTACTGGCTGCTCTGGCCTACGAGCTCATAGCCTGGGCAAGGGTGACCGAGGTGGGGTTAAGGGCAGGAGACTCACGGGGTTAACTTGGGTGCTTTCATCCCCTATACAGTGCAGGCACATGCTTCAGAGCCTCAGAGCGCTCCTGGCGCCCACTGCGCGATCTCCACCAAGTAATTGCAGGCAGGCCACCTGCTCCTAGGAGCCCCGCCCTATCTCATCACAATTCTCTTTATCCTCCCCCCTGTGAGCCCCGCCCTCCCTTTAGCTGTCTTCCCATCCCAATGAAAGGAAGGTGAAGTCTCCAGCTGTCTAGCTGTCTAGAGAGCACCAGTGGCATTAGGGATGCCAGGTTACCTCAGTTCCATATCCTTCCAGCTCTTTTGCTCAGACAACCACAGAATACCAATTTTTCATCTTTTCTGTCCTTATCTCTACTCTCCGCCATGTCCTCTTCACTTTGATTCCATGCCCCCTCACTTCAGCCTATGGTCATGGTTCTCAATTCCTTGATCTCACTGTTCTTCCATCATAGCTTCCAGTTGGATCCATCCAACTATTGGTCTTCTTCCTGGGCTGAAATGGGCTAATACTTGAAGATTCCTGCAATACATACATACCCATAATCTCCAACTTAACCTGTGTCCTCATCAGGGCTTACCACTTCTTTTATGTTGCACCTCTTTCTTTTTTATATTCTGTAGCATCCCCTTCAAACCACCTCCCTGCTATTAAAATCTCTGAACCCAGCATCTCCCAGGCGCTTTCAGCAGAAGTTGGGCGGCTCTTGCTCCATTCCCTGACAATAGCAAACACACGTAGAACTAGTGCTCAGCATTGTTAGATGAATTTGTACATATTAGCTCACCAACTCCTTACAACAACCCCCAAAGGGTCAGTATGTGTGGTGGTTATCATCTGGGAAACAAGGCACTGGTGTGTTAAATCACTGGTCCAAGGTTATACAATTAGTGGGTGAGCTGGGATTTATCTACACAGCTGGCCTCGGAGCCTGTGCTCTTAATCACTGTGCTTTGCCACCAATAGCTTTTAAAAGCCCAGAGGTGCTAGCTATCTCCACTCCTTGCCACGTATGAGCGTATGAGCGTGTTTGTACCCGCATTACCCTTTTCCTGTAATCCTATTGGGATTGAAAAAGTTGCCCCCCTCCTCCTAACTGAAATAAATTTCTTTACTTCTGTTCTCATGCCATTTCCCTCCTAGAAACCTCTTCAGAGATCTTACTCCACATATTGCTTCCTCTTCTTGTTAGCCTCTCTCTATTTCCTTTCCTTTAAACATTTAAAATCCATATACTCAAATCTTCTCTTCAAATGAGTAAACCAAAACCCTTGAACAACAACCGATTATAACTATTGTCCATCACCTCTGTTTACAGGAAACTTTCACAGGAGTTGTCTGCAATTCTCACCTCCTCTTCTTTACATCCAGTGTAATATTTGGCTCACTGCAACCTCCTTCAACCCTTACTACCCTATGGGTACTTGTTTCGAAATGGTCACTAATGGTCTTCCTGCTGAATTCAATGAACACTTGGTACCAGGTGACTTTTACATTGTTAGAAACTGTAGCGATATCTTGAAAGATTATCTTAGGAAATTTACTCTTCCCCCTGTTTGCTCTGCCTTTTTATTTATGTTGGGAGTCTGTGCCAGGCCCAAGGTTTCTGTGGGGCTCATGACATCTGCTAGCTCATTCCTATATGCAGCCTCAATTAGAGTCCTGACTTATCTGCTGGTCCAGAAGGAACTTAAAAACCAGAAACAGTGACATATCATTTATATCATACCAAAGAGGATATATGATTAAAAGTACATAAAGATATTGTCAAAGACAATTTCTCAAAGGTAATAATGCGCCCCCCCACCCCAAATGCTTCCTGTTATTTCCAGCATTCTAACTGCAGTAAGTGGTTATCTGCGTTCCTTGCAGTGGCTCAGTGGCCTAGAGACACATTAAGTGTGGCCCTAGCTAGTGCTACACCACAGAGGTGAGAAGTTACAGCTCTAGGTGGTGGAAAGAACAAGCAGGTCCTTGGGAAATTAACTTCTATCCAGTGTCAGGTTCAGGTATATAGTAGCCCTAAGAATGAAAGTGTATAATGCCCTTCCTACATTTATTTCAAAATTGAAGGGCTAGATTATCTGTGGTAGGTTAATAACTGTTCTCAAAATACATCCAAGTCCTAATGCTTGGAACCTATTTATATTTCCTTATTTGCAAAAGGGTCTTTGCAGGTATGATTAAATTAAGGATTTTGAGATAAGATTATCCTGGATTATCTGGGTGGACCCTCTATACCATCACCAGTGTCTTTATAAGAAAGGTAAAAAGAGAGATTAGACACTCAGAGAGGAGAAAGATAAGTGAAGGTGGAGACAGATGTGAAGTGTTGTGGCTTCAAGCCAGTGAATGCAGGAAGCAAGCAAATGAATGCCGTCAATGAAAGGGTTCTACCCAGCACCCGGGGGAGAGCAAGACCCTGCCAATATCTTCATTGTAGATTTCTGGCCTCCATAATTGTAAAGAATAAACTTCTGTTGTTCTAAGCCACCAAGTTTGTGGTCATTTGTTATAGCAGCAATAGGAAACTAATACAGTAACCCATGATATAAATGTAAAACAGTTCAACAAAAAGTGCTGGATTTTCCCCCTAGTTTAACTACTTCATTGATTCCTTTGTTCAATATTAACTCTAGAATTTTATCTAAGTTAATTTCTCATGTGGCTAGAGTTTATATGGGGACAACAACAGAGAATATAGATAATGAGTTACCAAAGGAATATATAGGGTATCCCAAAAAATGTATACACACCCTTTGAATAATTATAAAGGCAGTGTTTATTAAAATTCATTTCATTTTCAAAATTGATCTATCAGCTGTTAAAGTGTGTATACATTTTTGGGGGAGACCCTACATATAGTCTCTTTCTCCATGAGAATAAATAGAATCCATGATAATTCTTTAGAATATTATATATGAATAATTTATAATTCTTAGAATCAGGAAGTTTACTTGCTTAGCAAACATCATTTTTTCCTGGAGTGACTAGAAGTTATGCCCAGCAGGTGGCACCACAGTCATAATATTTACAGGGTTGTAACAATTTGCAGTCAGGGAGAAAACAAAAATTATTACATAGCCAGAAGATGGTGCTAGGTGACCAGTCTTTAAAACCAAGTCTGCATTTGAAATAGCTTCATTTTTACTCATTCCAGGATATATAATCAAGGTATTGTTGACATCATTTTTTTTTTGAAATTCTTCAGTGCTTTTAGTAGCTTCAAATTTAAACTTCAGATTTATTACTTTTACAGTAAAAGAACTCACACTGACCAGCTCATAAAAGCAAGTACTTTCCTACTCTACTTTTTATCACTCCCAGTCCTTGCAAAGAAAAATCTATTAAAACATATTTTATTGTTTCTCTATCTTCATATGTTTTAAGATTATACCTTTTAAAAATTATAGACACTCATCATGCCCACAAAAGTGGAGCGTGGACACTGAGGTGCAGGTGCAGGAAAGTCTCACATCTCTAAATTGCCAGTAAAAGCCATTAGTGATAGGGAAATGGTCCTGTCTCCCCCCTGCCCTCCAAATCTCTCCCAAGTATTGACAGTAACAATTTGCATCCAGAACACTAGCTGCAAGAGTATTGGAGGGATTTAGGTTATAGCTTTCCAAACCCTCCAAACTGAAGAAGAGTGGACTGGAGGTTGAGAATTAAAGTATTCCCTTCTATAGAGAAGCTCCAAGTAGGACAAAAATCACTGATCATCCAGATAAAATATGATCATCCAGATAAAATAGCTATTAACGTTCTGTCACTTGTCTATTATTATCCATTTTATGCTATGAAAGTTTTCCCTGTACATTATTACATTATCACTATTGCCATTGTTGTCTGTCTTAGGAAAGCAATTGCTACTAGCAGCCTGTGCTTTTTTTTTTTTTTACATAAAGACTTATAAAATGTACTTTTTGAGATGGAATAATGCTGGTGACTCAGACTTAAGATTGCTTTCTGGAGCAGATAATACCAAAAGGAAAACTTCATAAAGAAGTTCCTGTTGTGTGGGGATTATTTCAATGCCACCCATTCCATTCGCACAGGCCATTGCAAAGTCTGTTATGTGGGCACGGATATTGATTGGGGACTTTCTGTGCTGAGGTCCATTCTGTTTCGACGTCTATCCCAAAGCCTTCAGCTATCCCAACCAGTCAGCAGCATTTCTGTGGCACAGTCCGAGTAGTTTTCAGCTGAATCCCTCCTCCTCCTTTAGCATTCATCGCCACGGGCTCCTCAGGGTTGCGCGGCCCATACAAAACAAGATTTACACCGGCTTTTGGCTCTTTTCTCTCCATGTGCAGGGCTCACCCCACAGCAGCGCGCTGTGCTGTATCTCAGGAACCTGCTGAGAGAGCACTGGTGTCATTCATCTCCTGCACTTGCACGTCCCAGCTCTGCCGCTTCTGCGATCCCTGCTGCCTCCCGGTGCAGCACAAACAAGATAAAAGTGAACGGGCGCAGAGGTGTTGGTTGCAGTAGCTAAAGATGATTCCTCAGGGGAAGGTCCCCAAAGCAGCCCTCCTACCGGCAGACTCTCATTTTCGACTGCGTACTACAGTTCACTCAGGGAGTGGTGCTGCATATCCCCTTTGGACGAAAACTCAAATTCTGTTTCCACACATCTGCCTTTTCTCTGGTTATGTTCTGCGTAATAGGAGGAAAGAGCAAGGATAGCCACCTACAGCGTCCTGCCTTCCTTTACTCCTGCTCCGAGCTAGGGCGGCAGACATTTTTGGTAGCACATTCAAATGCATCTCTTCTTTCTCGCTAACAGGATTCCAAATGGGCTTGGGGGATGAGGTGCCCAGCTCCATGATTAGTATTCTGGAGTTGGAGGGCAGTGAGGTAGAAGGCAAGTCGGAGGGGAATATCCCAGGAATAATTTCCTTCCAGGTAAAAGAGCCAAGAAACCCACCTTGCCCGGGCCCCTTTCCCCTGCTTCAGATGTTGCCATGCCCCAGCTGTGACAGCACCCCTCAGCCACGTGGGGGTGCACTCCCCACACTGCACTGGCAGAGAGGGGGAGG